ATGACTGAATACTCCCCTCCTCTCCCCCGGTTTTGTTTCCCCATTTTCCATTTTCACGTGGAGATCAAATCCCGTCAAGTGACTGTCCTGGCGAGCCAGCTGTCCGCTCCCTCCTCCGCCTTCTTGACCCAGCTGCCGCGGCTACCCCGAGAACTACCCTCCGCCACTGACGCGTTCCTATGGCCGCTGTTCACGAGCCCCTCCCCCGTTCGCACTGGTGTGTCACACCAATCCTGATGCTACGTGAACTATCCAATGAAATCATATAAAAGCGGTGCCACCCCTCCTCTCGCGCTAACACACACAAGTTTTGTCAAGACTTGTTTTGTCCTGCGTGACGTTATTCTTGAACTTGTGTCTTTCCCTTGTGTAGACGCTCTTTGCTCTTGACCTAGTGTGTCCATGGTTGAGGTTTTTTACATCATTTACCGTTTCCTATTTTTGTTTCAGTCATAAACCCGATAGTTATTCATTAAAATGGAGGTAAGCATAATCATTCGATGAAGCATATATGCATGCGCAAGGTGTACGTGGATAAGTACTTATAGAAATATCTTGATATGAGAATATGCCGACCAGTGTGGGCGATATCTGGTTGTTTCAGGTTAAGTAAAGAATATGTAAACACTGTTTGAATTTGCGTCTCGATGACAAGGACATATACAATAATATGCCTTTTGTTCTTCGACAAACCCCTTACCCACGTCTTCCATTTCAGTGGTTATACATGCTAAGTGCCAGATTATTTAACACAGGGGGATCAAAAGCATTTTACATTTGAAATAATTGTCATATCCATGAATGTCGATTCCAATCCCAATGGAAGATCGATGCCAGTCCTTAACCTACAAAAGCAGATAGTGAGGTTCACTAATTGCGCAAAAAATCATCAAAGTACAGGAATATACGAGAACATAACTTAAAGTGTTGCATAAAAGACGTCACGAATTACGCTTGTAGTTAAGTTTTCGAGGAGCGATATCAAGAAGCATGATCGCCTGTCACCAGATGGTTTGGAAATATGGACGTATTCCACATGGAGATAGGAGAGAAAACGAGGTCAGTTCAAGTGACCTAGCGGTCAGCAAGTACAGTTGAAAGTTGCAAAGTCTGTCGGTAGTGTTAGGCAGCACCTAATATGTTCTTTCCACGAAGCCAAATGATTAAATCTGAAGCAAATGTTTTGGATTCTACACGGCTAAATTTCATGGAAGAGCATTATATAACCACTGCCACTGGTATTAACTTTCTTAAACCTTTGCTTGATATAGCAAGATAACAGAAGATACGATTGTTCTGTATGTTTGTTTTACCAAACAGAAAATAAGAAGATTAAGGGAGGTTATTGCAATAGCCTAGAGCAACTATTCATGTCGACTAAACCCTCAATCACAAACTTTATATTGATAGTTCATGAGAATTGCTTAAACTTTACTCAGAAGTACGCATTACACGTAAAACGGTCGCGTATTCCTATGCATGGTTTGGTGACTCCGGTACGTGCAGTGGGTGTCCTTACATATGAAGTCTGCCATGACCATGTAAGGGCAAACAGTTTATCAAAATACAGTTAAATGCAACAGTCGTGCTGAAACAGAATTATTATTTGTTTAAACCTGACATCGTTGACGGCCTCAGACCTTTACTCTTGACACATTTCGGCAAAGAGAATTTAGGTAGTGCATCTCATATACCAAAAGACACAGCGTTCATTCCTCAGCAACCGCGGTTAAATGCGTCTTGGAGGTGGGGAACTATGGTAGGCAGTGAAGGAAATTGATAGATGTTAGCAGTAATTGGAAGAAAAGTATTTTAATTCATTTCGCGCGGCCGCTGGGAGTAAGTTTTTCCGCATGTACATTAAAGGTGTGTGAAGCGTTTGACGCCTCGGGCTTGGACCGCCGTGAGACAGGCTATTTTCACCTTAATACCTCCTTAAAACCATTAATATTTTTTTCAAAAATTTTACGAAACCTGCATTATGAAAATCGAGTTCTTTCAAACTACTTTAATCGATAATACAGATTGGGAAAATCCTCAGATATAAATCAACAACATTCCTAAATGCAATAAAATATAAGTGCATATAAAAGTCATTCAATTATATGCTACTGCCTGTCGTAATTCCAAACATATTAAGCCTGTATATCTTCAGTTTCTATAGGACAACATGCTGACGCTAGGGGTCTATGAGTGCCCTACTTTAACTACTCTTGCCCAGATTTTTAAAACGTATCATTGAAGAAACTCTCACAGTATCCCTAACACTCACAGTTTACTCTAGACCTAGGACTGATAGCAAGTTGAAGACACGAGCGCATGCAGATGTTTACTGATTTATATCTTTATATGTTTCGTTTACCAGTTAACGAAAAAAAATATTATACACAATAATGGGGAATTATTTTACGTTTTTACAATATTTAGTGCTGAGTGGGGATCTCCTAAGTAAAACATCTTACTTCCTAATCTTTTATCAGGGCTATCATTACATTCTTCGCTCATAGTAGATCCCATTTTTAGGTTTACAAGTGAATCACGGGTTTTCTGACAAATAATATCCAGATTGAATCCAAAATGTCTAACCACATGCCATAAAATCAAATAAGCATTCGGAATGTGTCTTTATTTCTGTAACGTATACTTCGTTCGTAAATGGAGGACAACATCGGTTAGTTCAAGCAAATATTAATATTGCACACAAAGGCTTATCTATCACAAACTTGAAAATCAACAGATTTATTGCGCACGGTTACTGCTATTTTACAAAGACGTAAATGGAACATACAAAATATATATCAATCCCAATGACTAGTAATGACCATATAAGTTTATTCATTTCACCATCCGAAAAATATAGGAGATAGGACTACAATAACAGTACTCATTTTCGTGAGCTCGCGATTGCGAGCTGCGCAAAAACTTTAAAGCAGAAATAAATCTACATCAATCAGTGTTTATCAACTATCTGTTGGTCTTTCTCAAACAAATGTCAAACTATGAAAAATATAGAAGATATAGCAACCGCAGTCTGACAACTGCTCACACCGATTTTTTGGAC